CCCTTGCTGTAGGTAAACCAGGAGCTGAAATTCCTCACAGCCCATAAAAGCATGGAGGGTGAATATGCAGTATTGCTGTTTCGCCCTTACTGCAAACAGGTGATGCTTTTTTCCGACAACCTAAGGTTGTTTCTAAACCCTAAACGAAGTATAAAATCGATATGCTGGAAGTAAATGGCAGGAGTGGCAATGGAGGCAAGTTGACAGACAACTTTGAGTTGGCTAAGTGCGAGGCATACGATAATTAAAGGCATTAGAAACACCCGGAAAGACACATCTTAATAGGTTTTCCGAAATTAAGGGGAGGATGGCTGTTCGACAGGTCGGCGATAGTTCCTTAACGGGCACTTTCAAGCATCTGTTATGCCGATAAGTGGCCGATGGTTGGTATACACATACATAATATGTCTACTTTAACATAATATGGTTATTATGGTTTAATTGGACTATTCGATTTAAACTAGTTAAATGAATAATTTTTTAGTAAGCTAGTTTCATAGATACAGTGAAACTGTTTTATAGTTCGAGATTTAATTAAACTTAACACTAACACCAAAGACTAGACAAGTCTCTGTATAGAATATTTCCGTTTCTTACAGACTCTGTCCATCTGCTTTGATTAAAGGCTTACCGATCTTAAATTCAAATGGGTACTGGTGGACAGGTGTCCTGTCAGACGTGTCGATGTGATGCATAAACTATTTACTAAGAGTGAAAATGCTATTCAGCTATTAGAGCGTAGCGACATATTATATAATGGCACTTGATTATTCCAAAAAGGCAAAAAGGCAATCCACTTATGCCGACCGCACTATTTTCAAAACTGACGGCGAGACAGCCTTATTTTTCCCCAATCCGAGCAAAAATGAATAAATCGTGTCGAAAACAGCCGCAGCGGTTTCGGTGGCACCAGACGTGATGGTACTTCGTCACACGTTTGGCTTTGGTTTGCCTAAAACAATCTGATGATAATTAACCCGGAAATTTATTATTTCTTAGAAACTGGAGTTATGAAGAACCGATGGGGAAAATATTTACGGAAGTCGTAGTTGAGGTCATTGCTGACACATTTGACGATATAATATTGTGTAAAAAATCAACAGATTCTAGGATAAAAGTATCTGCTTTTACTCAATAATTAATATTTTTCTTCCTGTTTGACTCAGGTAATTCTGCCTAGAAGTTATATCAATTAATAGTAATCATACGCAATCACTGGTATAAGTAGATACAGAGGTCAACATACCAGATATTCAAATATGGAATTTTTAGTACATAGACCAAGTATTTTCAGCGTTAAGCATGTTTTTCTCAAAAATGGTGTAGAAATTTATTGCACAAAGTATAAAAAACGACTACTACAACTAGTATAGTTTGGTATAATAGTGCAGCTTGTTAGCTGGTAATTTATCTGCCTTTTCTAGAAAAGCGCCACCACTTTTTAAAATTGGCGTATATTTTTTTAATATCAGATATCGGACAAAATGGAACGGTTAGACTTCTCCAGAGATTTGTCAATTCAGTTTTAAATTTATTTTTTTCTACACCAAAGCAGCTTCGCAGGCAGAAGCCTAAATGCCATAATACCGCGGCTGCTATGAGGATTCCACCAAAAATTTGTTAATGCGATTTTGGACCGCCTAAGGTTATTAGAACCGGGAAAGCCTTCTCTTGTAGATTGATCCACAATCTCGACGCTCTCGTAACAGAGGAGTCGTATCAGCCAGTTTTTGATGTGTTTACCCTGTGTCTAAGTCTTATGTGGTGCTGGTCTTTGGCATTGCCTTGTTATAATAATTGTTTCAGGACTCGAGGTCGGCTTGTCTGTTCTCTACAGTGGGATTTTGTAAGGAAATTCTCTGTGCATTGATCTTCTGCTGACGAGCAGTCTCGCACTATTTGTTGAACCAGCCGTATGACCCTGGCTTAGGCACTTTCACTGTATGATGGCTGTATTCCTCCATCGCAACGTGAACAACTTCAGTTATCGATGTGCAGACAGTAGACGCATCCGCCAAAGTGAATCAAAGATCTCTCCAAGGCAAGGTCGAGAAGAAGTCTCTGAGCCTCTCAAAGTCTGCATGTCTGTAGTCCCAAATTTTGCGGTCTAGGCGAGTTTCGAAGCCTACCCTCCACACCAAAACACCGTGGTCTGAGTTACCCAGGGAATAGAGGATAGCAGTGGTGTAGAGGACAGGATGCGTGGTCAGAAAGAGATTCATCAGGCTACTGGCGTGTGACGAAACGCGGGGGAAAAAGTAGGGCTCGTCACCAGCTGGGTTATTATTATAACGAACGCTTCAACTGCATGACCTGCTGCATCGGTCTTGTTTAAGCCCAACTAAAACTCATTATGAGCATTGAAATCACCGAGAAGAGCTACCTCTGAAGCGGGGTGACAGAATGTCCTTCTGGTCCGATTCCATATAACCGTCTCTCTAGCAGGAAAGACTTCTGCGGACAAGCCTCAACTCCCTCGTTCCTTCTCCGATTGGAGTGCACCTCGTAATTTTGGAAGCTAAATTATTAATCGGTGCAGACAATGTGCGACATTGAATCATCAATTACCCGTGCACAGTCAAATCTACATTCTTAAATCAGTTTCCCGAACTTCAATGTTAAAATACTCATCATCTCATCAGTTGCATGAATTGATGTTTATTTTAAAATGTTTACGTTTGCTATGACGGCTGTGATTCCGCGTTGAACTTTTCTCTCACTCTATACAAAATCCAAATCCAGGTAGTGACACTGAAAAGTGGCAGGTTAGTTAGACGAAGCGCTGAAGTTTCATATTAGCTTACCCATCCGTTGTCTAAAAATGACCTATAAATGCTCAACCATAGGACTAAATTAGACAATGTACCAGTATTTGCAAGACAATGCGTTTTCTTGAAAAATTGGATATTCTGAGCTCATTTGACCAGTGGAACTAATGTTAGTACTGTGTTATCTGTTAATAATAGCCTGGCCCTCTATTCGCACTAAGAGAAAGTTTGTGTTGTTCCCTTGCATTTGGGGAACCTGTATCTAAATACTGATATAATAGTTGCTCCTCGAATCATTCTCGAGAGAGGTCTCACCGCCGCATGCCAGTACCATGTCAAAAGGTGAAGTTAACTTTTTGATGAAACGTAATATCTACATTTATATCCAGGATATTCACTAGGTGGACAGTTACATCCAATGTATGTATAATCATTTGGATATCTACATGTCCAGGTATAACTAAGAATCTGAATGTTCGTGAAGTATCCAGTGGTTCGTCATAGCCGCGAATGGCCGCTATCAAGTTCAATTTTGAAACGAACAAGGATAATTGAAAACCTAACAAAGCAAATTAACCATGTATTCATAATAAAATGTGTATACATATCATATATATGTATTCAAGTAAAGTCCCTTCTATCGTATTTTAATGGTTCAGGATCTGTTAATTTTTTGACACTATATGTGGTATACTGGTGTTCGGGATGTGAAATAATACAAGTTTCTATAAAAGAGAGTTCTATTATACGTATTCTACGTACAGATAGTATGATACATTTAATATAAATGGGTTCAAGACTACAAAAACAATGCCCATTGAGCATGTGTTATCATGTAAGGTACATCCAATTACTTCAGTTGTATACTGTAGTATTGTATTACAATAACTATTAACTCGCTGTACCTTATTCCCGTATATAAAAATTAGGACATCTCATTACTGAAAGATCATTTTCGAGCCCTACATTTTGCATAAGACAATGATCCTTGGTCAAACGCCGACATGTATAGATAGGTATTTAATTTGGAGTAATCAAATGTGCACTGAATATGAAAAAGTATACAACCTCAGCGCATCCTCGTATTTGTCGTACAACTTCGATAATTGAAACTTTGGAATCAATATGTCCATTGTCCAAGGACTTGTTAGATAGCTGAGAGAAAATTAATCGGAATAAAGTAACGAATAAATAGGTAAAAAACGATACTAGACTTGAATGGCATCTATGTAAAGTGTTTAATGGCAAGCAATTCAAAAAACGATAAGGTCCGCATAACATTTAAGGGATAAAATAAATAAAAATAAACAGTGTCAGCCCAGGTGGGGATACTGAATTCAAACATTCGTTTGAGCAAGTGTCAGGACAAGTTTTTAGTTATGGAGCATCTAAGCGAGCAATATTTTTGTAGCAATATATAGCAATAATACAACTGTAGCTTAGCCATCATGACCATATTGCAGCATGTGGTCGCATGTTGGTGGCTACCTCATTGCAGCTAGATAATACAGTAAAAATATTGCCTGTTTAATAGCGCCGTTACCTAAATGTTACATAAAAAGAACGGAAATATCACTATGTCAGGTTTGCAAGTTTCTATTACTGATAAATATTTCTCCTGATTATAATTGATCTATTACTTATTATGAGGTAGTATTGAAATGAGACTATTTTATTCCCTCTTTATTATCTGGTCTGACAAAACACTTTACTGAATTAAAAAACAAACATCCAACGGCGATTAAGTGTGTTTATATCATATTTTTAAAACCCATATAGAATAATACTGTCAAAAAGTGTTTACGAGCATAGGAACTATTAATCGAGGTGGATTAAAATAACAAATAAAACAAATGTATTTATCTGAGTGAATGTGAAATATGGAACTGGTGGAGATCATGAGTCATGGGTCCATAACTGTCAACGGAACTCCAATTATTTTCTCTTCAGTAACCGTGTTTCATAGCAAAACTTACTCTCTCGAACTGTTAGGTGCCATTTTGCTATTATGTAGTTAGTTACCTGAATGAAACATTTCCATATACACTCAGATAAAAAATATAATTTTCCGTAGTCCGATCTATTTCCTGTAATCTAAGCCAAAAGCTGAACTACTAAACTACAGGTATGTGAAAATATGTATCAATATGTATCAAAGCAGTAGCCAAAGCGTTAAAGGGAATGGGAGTCGTGAACAAAGATAACTACCGTCGCTTATAAAATCAATTCTTTTTCAGCAGTAAACTGAGTTTTAAGAATAATAATAAGAAGGAAGTAGAAAGAAGTAACATCTCACAACTAACATATATAATATAGTACTTTTTTACTAATTCTGTCTTAACATTTAAATTCGTACTTTCGCTCCCAATTACTATATAATAGTTTCCTACCACATTTAATCCGAATGAAATTAGGCAAAAATACTAAAGCCATTTATTATGTCGAAATAATTATATATACATACATCAAAAAACCTTAAGTAGTTGTGCTGACTTGATACTTGAAAACTACACTGATAGCCCAGAATAGGATGGGGTTTCAAGGAAATTAAGATAGCAGTACTGACACTAACTTAAGGCATTTTTTCATGCTCATAACCACTGAAAATTTATGCTTATCATTTTTTGCTTCAGTATGGCTCAAATTTTGAAAGAATCTCCAATATTAGTTGGTAAAGAAAAACTCATACGTCCTGTTCTTTATTCCTTGAAACCGCCCATTTGGTGCCCATTTGCTAGACTATAAGCATTGGATAAAACATAATATCAAACTATAACATCTAGAGATCACAGACATTTTAGTGTCCTATCACATATTGTAACCTGCAACCATGAGTATGATTCACCTAAAAAGTAACACTTAAACTGGAGTGATGCTGTATGAGGTAATGACCTTGATGGCGTAACCTTAACTCTATCCAACTGTATATAAGACTGACTTGGATATAAAGACCAAGTAATGCCACTATACCCTATTCGTAGTCCATTTACAACAATGCACAACAACGATGCAGCGCAGCAAAGCGGCAGCCGCCTAAGCATTGCAATAGCTATTGCTGATTCGGCCATAAAACTACCAACAAGTGCAGAATTTGACAGGTTAGAACTCATGCTCGGGGTATCGCCGGCACTCCGACGCCGGCAGTTGCTTTTATGCTTAATACGTTAGCATGTCGTCTACGGATACAGTAGATAAATCTGAGAATATTTCTCCCAATACTGTCTTCAGCCATGCTTCCTCTTCAGCGATGTCTCCTCCCCGAAAACGTGACAAGAAGGGAAATTTGGATATTCAGGCAAGAGATATTGTCCTTAACGTTTATAACACCGAAATTTTAGCATCCTGAAATGAAAATTCATCATATTGAAAGACATGTGGCGAACACAACAGGCTTATGTCCTAAGACAACTTTCAACATTGTTAAATAATATAAAAAAAACAAAAATTGTCTCCACCACACAAGAGGCTGCATTACACGAAGCTGTTGGATACAGCTGATAACTTTGATCGGAATGCCATCAGGCATAAAGTCCATCTATTTTTTGAAAGGCAGGAACTTCCTACCATAGATAAAGAATTATAGGAGGTTAATAGTGACGAAGACTTACCTATTTTCAAAAAACGGGGCAGAAATAGTATTTTGATGGACAGCCAAGAGATTATTTTATGGATAAGAAATTATTTAAAATCATTAAAGGAATACCGCGACCAGGGCAGGAAGATTTATTACTTGGATGAAACCTGGATAAATGCAGGATACAGAAAACTTAAAGTATAGACTGACTCTACAATTAAATTAGCAGGATGACTAACTATTGGTTTGAAGAATCCGTCAAGTACGTGTATCTAACCAATTCGTCATTTGTGTTTTAAAAATGGTGTCAAGTAAACTGAATCTATGGGCCCACGCTGAAAATTTAGCTAGGTATATCTGGTAGATTGGAACCAACACCTGTTAGATATCTACTCTGCTTGTATTATTATTCGTTTTCTTGAATACTATATGAAATAATTATTTCCAGGAAAAGGAAAACGATTAGTTATCTGTCACATTGTCAGTCAAGATGGCTTTGTTTCCACTGCCCTATGGGCATTTGAGTCAAGGAACACGACCACTACCATGAAGCGGGAGTTCATTTGGACGAAGGTTTAAAGAAACGGTCCCAAAGCTTGACGACAATGCCGTCATTATACTTGATAATGCTGCATATCACACTAGAAAACTACAAAAAATTCCCACAAGGTTTAGTGAGAATATGGTCAAAACTGAACTTATCCATCTAGTCAGGCAGCACAAATATGAATATAATCTTAATGTTATTGACGAAATGGCTAAAAACCAATATAAGACCGTTTTAAGGTGCGAATTCAATCTCATTGAAATTATTTGGGCAAATATAACAAACTATGTGGCTTCAAACAACAGAACATTAAAATTTTCTGACGTGATAAATTTGTTTTATGAAGCTGTCAACAGAGTAACGTCAAGTTCAAGAGACAATTGAAACAAGGATCTGGGATCTGGACAATATGATCGATATTCAAATTGAACCTGTAATAATTAATACTAACCATTCGGACGATGATTCAAGTACTTCCAGCAAATAAAGAACTGTGAAAAGTATCTGGACTTCTTTCTATAAAGATAATCATTTATTTTGTTAGATTATTCCAAGACCCTTGAGGAAAATACGGACCTGTATAATCTCGCTTTTGGGCATGTTGTGTTTTGACTGGGCGTAAATGGACTACGAATGGCGTATAGGTATACCCTCTGGCGTAACGCCATGCGACGTATTGTAACAACGTTATACGGTATCCGTTCATATCAGCGACTGCCTTCCCAGACAGCACACAATATTCCAGATGTTCCAAATGTTTTATCATAGTTTAACAGATACTTTGTATCGAAATAATTGTCATGTTCATGTAAGTTGGTATGAAGGCACATGTATGCTGCGTATGAGGATGGACATGGAAGATACTATTTACTTAACCTTCCCGCTGTGGTTTCCTGAATATTGTCGACGACAAAGTAAACGATATAAGTGTGTCTGTTTAATACACGTTTCTGTAGTATTTGTTGCTGTTTAGTATATACTAGACTTCAATAATTATGATATTGTTTTTTATTCCACTTGGATTCATACGAAAGCCATACAAAGTCCACACTCGAAAGGTAAGTCAGATCGAGGTTCAAATTTACAAGGTCCGAAACATAAAACATGTATTCCACCACAAACCAAATATATGTCCATTACACGAAATACACTGACGAATGTAGTAGCAGAATAAATATATATTTGGAATTGCACTGATGTTCTATTTTTGGTTTTAGGTTTTGAAGGAAAAGTACTTAAAGATAACTTCGATTGTTGAAAAAAATAAAGTTGACGAAGCTGCTGCAGATAAAATGGATGTGAAATTTATGGATGACCGTTATAAATATCATAAAGTGAGTGAAATCCTGAAAAAAATCTTCACATATTTGTAAGAGTTTATTTGAGACTGATCATTTATTGCTAGGTTGAATATATTGGGAAGATTCCCAGAATATTCGGTAGATGAAGTTATTAAATACTACAGAAGTTGCTGACCAATGAACTTGCTTTTAAGTTTTCATAGCTGGAGGCGAGAAATACCTCTAGCAAATTTGGTGTTAGCAAAACAATGTCTTGAGCAAGTATTATTTGTAACAGTCTATTCATTACATAACTTCAAAAAAAAATAAGCTAAACGTTTCATTCAATTCAATTTCAATTTCTGACTGGTTTCCTATAAGCTGTAGTTTCAAGAATGGTACAGAGATATCCGAAATACTGGTAAGCGTTTTTTTATGAATGTGTTGTTATTTAAGAAAATACATTATTTCAGAATCTGTTCACAAGAATACTGCTGCACAAAATGCAACGGATAAAGAAATAATAGATTGCATTAGGAATTGGCTACTACATACCAGTGTAAGAACGCAATCATTGTCACATGCCACGTTAGCTTTCTCTAATTTTTTCAGCTGCCTGTGTTCTTTATTACGACATTTGAAAAGTCTTACATTAAGTGTTATTTTATTATTCAATCAGATTTCCAGAATTTAAATGAATTCAGTGTAATATATGCAACCATCAGTATTTCCTACATCTACTTTATTGTAGCACGGTACTTCATGATCTGAAATTGATGTTTAGTTCACTGTCAAAGAAAAATGCTTTCACTGAAATTATACTAACGAGGCATGCTTTCAATTTATGACGAATACGTAAACGTTTTAATTATCATCATGGACTATTTCTCCATGATAACAGCATCATTACTTTACATTATCTATCGAAGCTACGCTTGGATGAGCTCAGCTGGCCCTGCATCGAATACTTGCTTGAAAGTGGGACACCCTACTGGAATTAATGTAAACAACCATAATGCTCGATATAGGTCAAAATATATGAAGCTACTATTTCGAAAACATGTAGTTTCGACAAATAATCCAGTGAACATGACATATACAACTATAGAATATTTCCCTCGGAATATTCTAGTACCATTACTAGGATATGATGAATACTCTAATAATATTCCGTATTGTTCCTTTCCAACACACCTGAGATACTCTTTGCGGATAACCATGAATATTATCAGAACATCAAGCATTTTCCTAGGATATTCTGAGGGAGAATATCCTACTGTAGCATTTTGCATTCCCATTTTCACTCTCCCGGAATATACCTTGAAAATGTATATTTTCCTGGACACTTGATAGAATAATCCAGTTCTAGAAATACTATTAGAATACGCTGTGCTGTTTGGGTGTACACCCTGATTTCGAACCATAAAACATATTAACGTCAAAGAGACTTGCGTTTACCTCATCTTAAGATCATCAGTCAAGGTATACTAACTTTCATGGCCATACTGAAACATACGTCTTCTTCAGAAACCTTACTCGTAGCTCCAACACGTCGCAAGCTCTAATGAAAAACTCACAACTTTGTCTTGAAAACCCCTTCGACCGATTCCATAGGCATGTCGTGCGAGTATGAGGGATTTGAAACTCCCCCACCTGCCTCTTGCGTGCTAGTTTGCTGTATGCTGGAGTTGGACGCGACATGCACCATTCCATTTTCACTCTTTTCTGGCTTTTCCTTTTTTTCTGGTTTTTCCTTTCTCTCCTTCTTCTCCTTGTGGGAGTAGATGCGCTTCTTTCCTGGGAAGAACTCTGCCATTTTGCGGGCCCACGGGTGGATGAGCTCCTCGTCGTACCTGTCGCTTTCGCTGCCGGTAAAGTAGGACACTGTCCAGCCCAGAAGGATGGTGATGAAGCAGCCAATGAATGCGTAGTACATGTAGCTGATAGAGTACAGCTGGGTCAGAGGGTCACTGAAAGTAAAGAATATGATTACAAATACAAAAAGCACAGGCGGAAAATTTCGACTTCCTTTTACCAGGCAATATCGATAGCCTAGTCTTAGGTCAATTTTGTTATCAAACACAAAATCATTAAGTTAAATTAATATTGCGCTGGGAGGTCTTCACGACATGTGCAACCAAAACCCACAGAACTACGATTTGATTAAACTGGAGCTACGACAGGATCTAGTGGATGATCTTAAACTTACAAAGCACCTTATGCGGTAAATTGATGTGGCTACTTGTAGTGCATATGGAGAAATACCAAAAACTAGTGATAGTCAAATCATAATATACAAGAGCCAAATCCAGTCTGTATTATTTGGCATCTCTCAAGGCAATACTTAACCACCATGTGGCACTTACTACTGCCTTTAACCGCAACAATGTAATTGCAATTGGGTAAATGGTCAGTCACAACCCAAGAGCCATATCACAGCTAGTCAAAAAGTCTTCCAAAACGTAACAGATTATACCTTGGACTGCTTATTCTCTACAAAACGAAAAAATTTTCCAATTCGACTTTTTTCATTATCATGCTTATTGAATGCTCTTAACATGAATCATGAGATTGCTGGGCGGTAACGTAGTGAAAATTTGCTATAAATCTTATACTCCGTATCTTGGTAATCAGAACTTAAAGACCTTTAAACCTCAGGCTATCAACAATCCCTTCAGTGACCCCTCGTGTTTATTTTCCTATCATAAAGAAGCGCCCGTGTAAATGTAATATATGAGAACCAGTTATTGTCATTTGATCTATCTGAGGGCAATTCGAATCTCTTAAGAAATTAAAACTTATACAACCTAGGACAAGGCTATAAAACAGTAGATACTTACGATGGAGCTGCTCTGGTGGTGTTAAGAATATCAAGATAGTGCGTATCATTGTAAATGTAGTAGGGCGAAGGTGTGGTGACAGGTGCCCAGTTGTTGTTTTTGTGTTCTGGTTTCAAGATGTGGTCGTTGAAGGACGTATTGCTGCATCCAGACACATCCAAGGGCAACATCTTTGCCGGAGGTTTGTCGACTGTTAGTCCGCCAAATGTGATCCAAAGAGTTACCATGTGGCCTGAGATCATGCCTATTGAAGCACCCTACAATCAGACAGACTATTATTTGAAAACGACCTTCGATTAGCCGGAAACTAGTCAGAAGGTAGGCACTATGCTACAATAACAAAAGTGTAACGCAAGTACTTATTCAAAAAGCAGTCAGTTCGTCTTGGTGATTAAAGTCAAAACGTAGATAGATAGCCTAGATTTGTGAGATCAGCAGTACATTCCCAAACTTTCGATACTTTGGAATTTGATGGTTGAACATGTACGGCAGAAGAACTTTCGAATTGAATACCTCATGCCGTATGTGTATGCTTGGCAAAATTGCATTTGTTAACGCATTCCGTGATATTTTCGAGTCGTATTACTAAGGCAGAAACGTTGGTTAATTTAGATATTAGTCAAACTCTAGAAGTTATTCTAGTTTTTCTACTCCAGGAGCTTTTCCCCGAAGAGTCCTCCAAGACGCGCTTTCTAGATTAATCAACTATAAGTTTTATGTGCGCAGATAGTAGAATATTGCATTCTCAATTTAGTAAATCAAAAGGAGAAACAGAAAGTCACAAATTTTGGAAGAAATCTGAAAACGAAACAATCTTGATCTCATTGTTGCAGATAGCGCCGGGTAGCGTTATTTGGTGACGGTTACCATGAAACTAGACTATTGACCGACCCGGGTTGACAAAATAAGCATAAAATGTATATAGATTTCCACGTTACATTATACCGGGTGTTACGCACTTGATTGAGCATAGTAAAATGGTAGGTAGTATGGATTGAGATGATAACGAAGTTACCAAGAAGTAACGTAAAACTAGACGTACCGTCGAAAAATGGAAGGCCGGGATTTGAATTTTTTTGTTTTCTTATCAAAATCAACATCTTTTAGGCTGAATATTGAAGTGTTTGACTATGTAGTGATGCTAACTAATTACCAAAATAGATTGGTCTACTGGCTTTTCAGTTAGAAATGTTTATTTATTAAAATATCTTATTTTTTGCAGTTTTTGTAACATACAATTCAAAATTTCAATTGTTATCAACTTGGCTTCATCAAGATTTCACAGAATAATGCTTAAGGTTCAATTAAAGATGTTTTGGATACTCAAAATCGCAGTGTCGAATTCAGTTTTTTTTATTTCCTTATAGTTTATCAGCTGCAACGTTTTGCATGTTATGTGGTCAATTTACCATCATTTCCAAAAAAAAAAAATAGCAATACAGATACAAATAAAAGACTAAATTAATTTTATGCTCCATATTTAGTTTTTTCCGTGTTCTTTAAGTACTTAACTCTTCCAATTATTACATGAGCCCTGCTTTAAAATAAAGCGGCATATATTATGCAAATGACTGGATTTGACTCACCGGACTAATTCAGGAATATAATCAAAATGTAGAAGAACTAATGTACAGATCTGGACTCTCCGCAACCCCAAGCTAGATTCAGTTACATAATGGTACGATAATCAAATGTAAAGTCCGGACCTGCATACTACATTTTTGAGGATTTTCAACTTGATTTAAAGTTGGTCTGGAAGATCAAATTCAGTAGAATTCCGTATTCCGTTGACCCTCTAATCAGAACTCATGATGGTGTATAATATAAGTTGGTAGGATTAAATGTAATTCTAGACAACTTTGTTATCGTGCAAAATTTCCAGTTACAACCTACCCATTTCAGTATGTCCACTTAACTACCGAACACCCTGTATATGTAATAACTGGCATACTAGCCATACGGTTCATAAATACCAAATCATGTGATGGATCACAGTAAATACTGATTGTGTGATATTCGTCTTCATGTTATCCAAAAAATATTGCTTTCGACAATATACAGAAAGTTCAATTAGCACGTGGAGAGACAACGTAGCTCAGGCACAAAGTACGTTTCCAATTGGGATTCTTACAGTGTCACTTTGTGTGTAATGATTAATTAAACTTGCTCTTTTGCAAAAGCATGTATAAAGTTGTTAATATATGGCCCCCCTAAAAGCCGTGTATATAAAGCCTTTATATATGGCAAGACCCCATTTTTCAATGCAGCCGCGAACGTTGCTTGGTGCATAACAATTCATTAAAGTTACAAAAGCAATTACAAAGTTCAGCTAGAGTACGTTCCCTTTGCGGGTGCATACTCGGGCTCACGTCATCTTGGAAAACAACAGCAACGGGCGGATGATACATAATACGTTTATTAATATTAAAGGTTATTTGAAACATGTAGCAGTGGGATCCCTAAGCGTTCCTGCCGACGTATTAATTCAAGACTTCTAGAATATTCGTCGGCTGCCAGCTGAATTTACATTACAGCGTGAAGCAGCCACTGAAAATTCTGTCAACTCACATACGCCTTTCTTCAGCATAAGAGGAGAGGAAATATAGTTATTATCACCACCACTTAAAAAATGGTGTCAATTAGATTGACGGTACTTGCCTCAAGTTGTTTCCAAAATTTTTCATACGTTCAAATAGGCCTTTTTGACATACAAACGCTCTTTGTGTACCCATTATATAACGATAATGTCATATTTTAAAATTCTTTATCCCAAATGGTGGAGAACAGATTTTGAAAGTGTTTTATAATGTTTCTTTTTCTGAATATTACCAAAAAACTGCGAAACATCGGAAAGACAAGTTTGGAAGCGAGCTGCAGTTTTTTTTGTCTTTCATTCATAACTACAGTGCTACTACAGCGATTTACAAAAATGATGTGGCTTTACCTCTTATGCAAGGTGTTTCCAAAACATTAGTTAAAGCTTCTAGGGGTGTTTACTGTAAGACTAAAGGATGCCACTGGAAATCAGCTTTTTAAATAACTTCTGAAAGGCACGAAATGTTTATATCATAGTAGCCAGAGAGTCACACTATGGTATTGAGAGAAAACAACTCAGTCAATGTTGTTAATTTTTATATCTTGTGCAATAATTGATCAAAAGTGACATTTTTGGGAAGTCTTACCTCAAACTGGAAAAATGTTCTCGATTCAGATAAAATGATTCGTTTTTGAAAAATTCGGTCTTATTCTAATACTGCTCCGAACAGTTTGCAAAAAACGTTTTGTTAGTAGAAGAGCCAAGTCTTCATCGTTGAGCCATCATTATATAGGAAGTATATTTTTTTAGTAGTATTGTGTTAGAGCTAGTCTGCAACTGATAAATAGTCTAGGGTCGCTTTTTGGGGACACCTTCATTTACCAACTGATTATCATGCTGTCTGAATGTCGACGAATTAAGGTGTTATGTTCAGAAGCGGTTCCGGAAAGACTGATTATCAATAGTACTTTTTAGGGTTTCGACATATCTCAAACAGGGTGCTGTTATTCAGAAAGAGGATAAAATAGTCTTGGAATAGATCGTAGAACAGTCCATTGGATTATTACCTAATATTTTGAAACATTATGTACATCACTATTTAGCTACCAAAGCGGTTAGAAAAACTTACAAAAAAGACAGACCGATAGGTGGAGGGAAACTGACCGACCAAAATGAGCGATGTAGACGACACCAAGAAAACTGAAACTCAAATGCTTCCATAATGACTCCCTTGCTGAAATGTTGGAACTTCTAAATATTATGACCAACCGTGCGACAGTAAAGTTGAAAACTATGTTTCAACTGAAACAGGAGACGCGTCCAAGCGTCTAAAAAACCCGAACATTCTTACTGGAAACAGCTGGTGAGCGCAACCTGACTCGACACATGTAGCACTTGTTGGCAGACAATTGACATCTTTGATGTTTCTTTTTGCAGATTGCTCATGGCATACATATTATTTATGTACTAGGATTTCTTTGTTTTATGAAAAATACAAAAAAAGCCCATTGATCTGTCTATACTTCTTTTCATGGTATTTGGCAGTCCGTCAAAATATGTGCGTAGTTAAACTTTCATAAGGCACACTGCGCAAGCCGATCCGCAGCACAGCCGCTACTCTCCTTGTGGAAATGTTACTACTACAAACTGTTGAAGTTGTATCTTAAAATCTATGGTAGATCTAGGATCTGTAGAACCCGAAACACTGGAATGACCGTAGTATAAATTATCGTATATTTGTCCCTACTTTAAACCCAAATTGTCATAGTGACGTTGGCAAGCATGAATGTGGATCATGCGTGGACAAGAAAAATTCCAAGGCAGTGAGACAAAACTAAAAGACGTATGGCTTACTCAAAAAAATGTCTCGTCATAGCCGATTGCATCTGTATGTGTGAGAGTGATTGATGTGTGGAATCCAGGAATGTGATAATGACAATAAAAAACGAACTGTCGCCTGGAAGACAGATAAGTCCAATATTGTCGATGTATTGAAGATCACCTTTGTGATCAAAACATTTACTATAGTAAAGAAGATATGTTAATACATGTACATTCATTGACCATACGAACATGTAATTCTTGCAGTTCCATTGATAATCAACTAGTCTTTCATTTCGCCTGTTTATCGGTTAGTAAACATTAGCAAGCTGAAATTTGGGCCGATAAAATTAACGCATGAACACTATATTTTAACGTAAGCATGGCAGTTGGGCGCCATCTTGTAACGTTTTTTAGATGGAATAAGGCGGTCTTGCGGTTTCCTATTTGGATGATCGCTATAAGTACTTCAAGCCTCTAAAATCTAAAATAACTGTCTTTCAAAACATTATAGTATGTTCTTTCTATGGAGGTGCTTATATAATAAATGTATAATAAGATATGAGACATTCCGTTAAAAACAATTGAAAATTTAGACATTTTTTTAAGTTGAATGTCTCATATTTTATTACATATTCGAGTAAAACTCTCCAAGATGAGAAGATTGATATAACATACGATTTATTAATCGGTTCTTGCTCATTTTCTATTCTAGAGTTATATACACTCATAAGGAGATTCAAAATCATGTTTTACATGGCCCCCTTTCCATTAAAAAATAGGGCCCAAAATGGTGACAAGCAACGTGAAATCTTTAACTGCCACTTTTACGGTAAAATATCTAATATATAATATATATATATATATAAGCATAAAGTGTTTAGTCAGTGGCCTTAACCA